GACGGTGGCTTGGCGCCTATCTCTGCCTGTGCCCCGGCTGGCTTTGAACCAGACCCGTTCACACCGTACTCGGTTTCAGATGTATTCTCTGAGTTTGTTGGCGTCAAAGTTGTCACCATGTTTATTGGAGTTAAAAGTTTGGGCTACTGAAGTTGTCAGTAGACGGGCGCCATGGTTTCAGGCGGAGGTTTGCTCCTATCCTTGCCCGTGCTTCAGCCGGCATTTCAGCCGGTCCCGGTCACACCTGATCAGGTTCGGGTTCAATTTTTGATTCTCGGGTGTTGCTTCTCTGGCATCTGTTAGACCTTTCAGGCCCAGATTGCCTGGTGCTGCTGTTGGCTTGCCCACCATGTGCCGTCGGCCCCTGTTTGGGGTTAAGCCTCCAGCTCCTGCTCAGACTATTAATATTATTATTATTATTATTATCATTATTATTATTATTATTATTATTATTATTATTATTATTATTATTATTATTTTTATTACTATTATTACTATTATTATTATTATTATTATTATTATTATTATTTTTATTACTATTATTACTATTATTACTATTATTATTATTATTATTATTATTATTATTATTAGTGCTCCTCCAGGGGCAGCTACTATCGGCACCTTACCCCATCTTTGGGGGTGCGTGCCCCCAGTCCGTCGGCTTGAGTGGGACTCTGTCTCGCGGTTTTCTTCAGATATGCCTCGGGTTCTTAGTTGAGTTTCCCCCAGTGACAGAGAGCCCCCGGTCACACGGTGGCTTCTAGCATCAAGCTTTTCAGCCTAAGGTGCGATGTAGCGTGGTTGTAATGACCACGCTGGGCCTGTAGCTAAACCTACCAGCTTTAGTAAGGCCTTTGAGCAGGCTTCGCACCAGACGTTTCGGCGTAAGGTAGGAAGCGTTTGCTTTTGGATGTCGAGTCTCCGATTGTGACTTTGACTGTGAAGTCCATCAGGCACCCAGGGGATGATGGTAGCTGTGCCCCTGCCCTAGGGGTGTCTTGACTGGACTCAGTTGCACTTTCTGGTGTTCAGGTTCCCTTTTTGTTTTGGGACCCGTCTTGCTAAGCTCGGCTTCTGAGAAGCTCTGTGCTGTTGTTGGCCTTTTTAGGGTCTTTGCCCGTTGTTGGTGGCTAGACTCCCACCGTCCACTTCCCTTGCTACTCCTCTGTGAGAGGAGTCGGTAGGTGGATCAGTTTCTCCTTTCCCCTCTGGGGTTTCGGTTATTCCTAAATATCATTCAACTGTATCTTAAACATGATACCAGGGGTGTTGGTACCTCCTGGGCTCTTTTCCATGGGGTAGCGCTTCATGTCATTATGAAGGCTGCCTTCTGGCTTTCACCTAACACCTTTGTTTCGTGTTATCTTTAGGACATTCCTGCGAGTGAGGAGTGTGTTGCTACGGCCTGGTCCCCCGCTAACTTTTGTTTGGAACATGCCCCCTGCTTTCATCTGTGTTGGTCTAAGCAATAATAGGTAGATACTTTATTGTGGTAAATTAGTTACATCAGAACTGATTTATTATTTACTATACTAATCTATGTACATGTATCTACCTATGTCCCTCCCTCTGTCCCCTCTCCTTGTTGGCAACATGTCCCTGGTTGTATCTTGGACTGCTTTAAGAGAGGAAGTTTGCATGCGGTCGTAGTGCGCATGTGACAGGTGGTATAGCAGGGCCTTGGGGTGGGGTAAGCACAATTGTGCCTTTTTTATTTTGATGACTGCTTCGTCTGTTCACCTACAATTTAAGGGACAGTGCCATGTAGGCTCATCATTCACATGTCACCATCTCCCAGCCAGTAATTACCTACACCTAATACCATGAATATAAAAAATACCAAAAAAAGTTCAGTTCTTGAACTAAAAACGTGCCTCATCCAATATGATATCAATCAGCTCAATGGATGTAGGAAAGAAGAAATGTGGATATATACACAACATTCACTTTAAAAACACTTTTGATGCCAAAGAGTGATGACTGCAATCATAGTTGAATATCTAGTGCATAATTTTACAATGGTGAAATAATATCCAATGCAAACATCTTCTGACTGCCAAGAGAATTATTGAACGAGACAAAGAAGTTGATGCATAGTAAGGTTACACTGGTTGCATAGTTATGCAATCCATGACTGCTAATGTCATAAATATTTTCCACACAAGCAAATTACGATTTTTCTAACTAAGGAAAATTACTCTTAAATTAAGGGAGCAGATTGGTGAAAGTTTGAACGAAATCGAACAAACAATAAGGTTATGAATTTTTGAAAGCTGTAATCAAGTTCAAATTGCCTGATCGGTAATGTTGCTGTGATGTAGTGGCGGACAACTATTCAGCTTATTATAACACACAACAGTACTAAAATGTCAATTTTTCAAAATGTATGACCCAGGGGATCTTTTTCAAGCATTTCCATTCCACTTCTAGTTTCTCAATGTCATTTACTTCATTATTTGTTTATTCTATTTCTTCTGTGACTAGGCAATTATACCTATTTCTAACTTCCATAAGGTATTTTTCTGATATGACTGTTTTATTTAGAGCTTTAACATCCAGAAGAGGGTTTCTTTTTGTTCTGGGGAGTGTATTCTTAGCTTTATTTCAACTTCTGCAATCACCGGGTTGTGATCAGAATCTATGTCAGCCCCTGGGCATGTTTTAACCTGCTTGATTAAATTCTTGAACCTGTTCGTTATTAAAATGTAGTCGATCTGATTTCTATTTGCATCTCCTAGGCTTTTCCAGGTGTAGGTTCTTCTTTTATGTTGTTGGTAAAAGGTGTTGGTTATCACTAGATCATGTTCCTTACAGAACTGAACAAGTCGATCACCCTGTTCATTACGATGGCCTAGTCCATATTGTCCAACAATCTTTCCATCCTTACCTTCCCCGTCTTTATCATTCCAATCACCTATCACGATAACAACTTCTGTTGATTTACAGTGCTTTAGCATTTCATCTATTTGATCGTAATATTTTTCTACTTGTTCATCACTGTAATCACTGGTTGGGGCATACACTTGAATTAATGCTTGGTTAAACGGTTTAGCTTTCAGCTTCATTAACGTCATTCTCTCATTTAATGTCCAGTATTAAACCTAGAATGTGTTTCAAGATTTTTCTTGATTAACATTCCAACACCATGTTGGTGTTTTTCTCCTCCAGAGTATATGAAGGTATAATCATCTCTCTTCATGCATCCATTATTAGTCCACCTAGTTTCTGCAATACAATATCTAGTTTCATCCTATTAGCCGCCTGAATGAGGTTATCTAATTTCCCTGCCTTATACAACGTCCTAACATTCCATGTCTTGTTTTCAGGGACAGAGCATCACAACCTAATCTTTCCGAAGGCTTTGAACTAGGTTGGTCATTATAATGTACCTTATTTGCAAAAGGCAGCAACTCTTCCTGAAGGCTATTTACAGCAGGACTAATTGTTTGGGGACCAGTCAGGCTTGCATCTCGCTTTTCTCTCTGTTTGTACTTATTCATGATGTTGCAGACAATGGTAATATACATGTACATGGTGAGGTAACAAACTCTTCCATGGTAGCTGGCCGTTGGCTCCATGTGAGCTCATCCGCCCGTAAGTTCTATATGTTATAGATCTATAGGATGGCTACACACCCTATGTTAATTGGGTGATGGTTCAGTTGAGCTGTCACGAGCATGAAGAGAATGGCATGATGACACATAGCAAGCACCTTAAACTACGAACTAGCCCTACCAGGAAAAAAAAATGCCTGATCTTGCTGCACCGTTCTCCAGCAATTTAAGGTACAAGACCAGCTAGAACATCACTCACAGGTGCTCTAGTAAGACAGGTTATAACCTACTTACTAGTTACAGCTAGCCATGTATAATCCAACTTGATCTCCCATAACTCTCAAGGCATCTACAACTATCCATCACCCTGCACGTCGCTGGCTGTAGTGTCTACGGCATTACAGTAGCAATTGTGAGACAAGAAGTACTCAAAATTGGCCAGACCAATTCAGAGGACCTATAATTATATGCTATCCATAATTAATGTGACATAGTACCCCATGGGAGAAGGCGCTCAGGAGATAGAGAGATAGAGAGATAGAGTGGGAGGCAAAAAAGATTCTTGCTATGAATGGTATTTATCCTATTCAAAAAAGCAAATCTAGATTTGATAAGTCATAATCATAAATAGTGAGCAAGAAAGTGTGAGACATGGTGAGAGATAGGAAGAAAGGGAGAGAAAGGGAAACAGATGATGGGTCTTGATTTAGAGCTGATATACAGCCGGTAATAATCGCAAAAAGCAACAAAGAGAGAGAGAGAACAAGGGAAGCTAAAATAAAATATGACTCTTATACAATAACAAATTAATCTGATAAACAGTACTTTTATATATACAGACTTGATATAAATATGATGAGTACACTTTTTTTCAAGATGAGAAAGACAAAAAATATTGCTTTGTATCTGACGTGCAGTATTTGAACAAGCCATTCAGCAGTATTGTAGAGAAACAGTAACATCTAGATTCAGTAACTGGCAATATCAGGAAAAATAAGGTAAAATATCCTTATTAATCCCAATATTCAGATGTATACCGGTATATGAAAATTTGCAACTACAAACAGTTACCAAAGAGATTAAAAAAATCATGCCATGAATAAAATGTTAGAAAGTAGATTCTACAAGTTATAACAAAGAAAAGAGATATGACATAATCAAGGCAAGGAAGCACACCTAAATGTAATTCATTACTAGCGAATGGAAAAGTTGATTACTAAAAGTAAACATGACAAGTCTGATATAAGATATTAAAAGAACGAGAGAAAGAGAAAGATCAAGATAGCAAGAGATCAAAAGAGAAAGAGAAAGAAAGAGAAAGAGAGAAATAGAGAGAGGGAGGGAGGGGATATGAAATGTGATTGGTAAGAGGATGAGGATGAGTAGGAGGATGAGGAATAGGGATACATAAGATGATGAGCAAGATGAACAGGTACGAGGATTAGGATGAGGGATAAGGAGAAGGATAAGGAGAAGGATGAGGAGAAGGATGAGGAGAAGGATGAGGAAGAGGGATGGGTAAAAGGATTAGGATGAGGGATGGTGAAAGAGAATGATGATGTATTAGAAGGAGGATGAGGATGACAGATGGGTAAGAGGATGAGAATGGGGGTGGGGTGGGTAAGAGGATGAGGAAGAGGGTGGGTAAGAGAATGAAGATTAGGGATGGGTAAGAGGATAAGGAAAAGGATGGATATTAAAGGGGCTGTGGAAGATGGATGTGGAAGATGGATGGGTAATATGATGAAAATGAGGAATGGATAAGATGGGGATGGGGATGAGGAATGGATATGAGGGATGTGTAATATGATGAGAATGAGCAATGGGTAAGAGGATGACGAAGAGGGATGGATATTAAAAGGACTGAGGAAGAAGGATAGGTAAGAGGATGATGTAGTGGAATGGGTAAGTGGACGATGGAGATGGATGAGTAAGAAGATGATGGATGAGGGTGGGGTAAGAGAAAGCAGAAAAATCAGAACTGATTTTATTATTTACTATATGAATCTATGTATCTACCTATTATTTGCACGCCACCATCGAGAACTTTTTAATAATGTCACGTTCGCGCATGCCCCACACCCCATACATCGCCTTCGGACCCAGCCTCAGGACCCGCTGCCTGAATAGCGTCCACTGTCCATTTGAAGATGGATTCTCGGGACGCAGGAGAAAAGAGCTCCCACAAAATGAGGAACAACTGGTCATCCTTTCAGTGAACCTTAGTTCTATCTAAGTACCACTTGAGTGCCATGAAGGGGCACCAGACCTTGTCCTCCGCAACCCACGAGAATTCCGAAAGGGGACTGAGGAAAACCTCCACCGGTCCGGAGGACGCGACTGATTTTTGGCAAACCCGACATGAGTGGCAGCGAAGGGCGAACGGTAACCACGAATAGTGGAAAGGGCTCTACCCTTGTCAAACAAGTAAGTCAAAAAACCACTATCACACCTGCCGAAGTCTACGGGTGAGACCCCAAGGCCTTAACACCAAATGGAGAAGGGCTCCAAAGGAGAGTTGTAAAGGGTCCTTGTGGGATCCCTACGACTCTGGACTATAAACTATGAGACTCTCTTCAGAGAGTCCAGAAGTCAACGTCCTCCCGACACCGTCCTGGCAGTCAGAGAGAGCAAGCACCACGGGACGACGACGGAGAATCCCCGCCAGAGGCTGGAACAACACGTCCGGCCGAGAGAGGGAACAGATGTCCGCAGCAACAGGGACAGAAAACCGAACCCACCGACCTGAAACAAGCCAGAGACGGGAAACCCGCCGGGGAGCCTGTTGCCCCAACATCAGCAACGGACTCTGATTACCCTCAAGGTTAGCTGGGGAATTGTGTCCAAGAGATAATTCCCCCAAAAAATGGAAGCACTGAATCCAATGACTAGGGTAATAGTATATTTGTAAAGCACTTAGAGACATTTGTATTAAACGCTATATAAAAATTGAATATTATTATTATTATTATCAAGACGGATCCCAACCTAAAACAGGTACCAGCTTACAACAGACAAGCGTAACTGGGCTTCAGAACAGACAGATGGGACCAGGGTAAACCCTGTCGCCCACCAAGATGCTTTGTTACAACGAGAAGCCCAGTCTGAACGGTTGGAGAGAACGCAGGCTGAGGTCTAAAAATCAGCACAGCCTTCTCCGTCTAAGTCACAGTCGGAGACTGGACATCAGAAGGCTACAGTAAACCTCATAAAATACAAACTACAAACTTCGTTCCCCTTGCTGAAGCGTCGGGTGACGAAGCTTGCTCAAGGGCCTTGCTAAATCTGGAAGGTTCAGCTAAATAGGCTCAACATGGTCACAAAACATAAAACCAAACTATCACGAACAGACAAAAGGTCCCGCCGCAGAAGCGGTGATCCGTGAAGCGTAACAAGCCAAGGTGGGACGTTAGGTCAGTGAATAAATTAACCGCCTTACCACACGTAAGAAATCCCAAACAGCAAATGCCGTAACGCCAGGACCAAACGCCCTAACCCAGCGGCGTACCAAAGCCTGTAATTTATGGTCGTGAAAGTGGAAATATGCGGAGCAGAAATGATACCCAAATTTCTGCAAAAATAAATATGTGACTTGGGAACCTGTACCACCATATTAATAGCAATAAAAAAGAGGACGGAATTCAATGCGTAAAAAGAGCTAAGCCTATCGAAAAAAGGACAAAATCCTTGAATTTAAATGTGACTCAGCTGTAACGATGTCTCTGCCGGTAGGCGAGAATAGAAAGAGGATGAATGGCGGGTGTGCGTTGCGCACATGAACCCTGGGAAGGCGAATTATGGGGGTGGGGCATACGCGATTGTGATGTTTTTAGAGTTGTGGCGTAGTTTGGATAAACTAGCAAATGATAGGTAGATACATTGATTTATTGTGGTAAATATGGTTATTATGGATGGGTACAATGGATGGGAAAGATAATGAAGAGAAGATGATAAAGTATGAGAAGAAGAAAGAGTATAAATGATAATGTTCTAAAAGGACATAGAAGTGAGAGACAGAAAAAAAAGCAAGTCCATGCAAAGCGTAGCGTCCCTTCGCCGGGTAAAAATGGCCTATATTTAGCAAGTTTTTAATATTTATGAGCTGTCACCTTTGACCTTTGACGTACATACTCAACAACATTACTTACATTATTGAATGAAAACCACATTTTCGCATATATAAATAGGTATTTTGCATATTTAAAGAGCTATGACCTATGACCTACATACTCCAAAGTTGAAATTATGCTGTATTTTGATACCATATACCTTCATATCAAGTTTCATTCAAATCCGTCGAAAAATTACTAAGATTATTGAACAGAAACCAAATTTTCTAATTAGCTTTTTCCCCACATATTAAATGAGCTCTGACCTTTGACCTACATACTCCGCAATCGAAATTGGGCTGCTGTATTTTGATACCGTTTACTTTCATATGAAATTTCATTGAAATCCGTCAAACATTACTAAAGTTATAGAGCGGAAACCAGATTTGGGTATTTTGCATATTTAATAAGCTATGACCTTTGATCTACATACTTTGAAATCGAACTTAGGCTGTATTTTGATACCATGTACCTTCATAACAGATTTTATTAAAATCCGCCAAACATTACTAAAGTTATCAAACGGAAATCAGATTTGTTACGAACGGACGGACGGCTGCGTTACTAGATCCCCTCCGACTTCGTCAGCGAGGGGATAATATAAGACTAAAATATACATGTAAGAGAAAGTAAAAAAGAGAAAAGGGGAGATAGATACAGATACAGAAAAAGAAAAAGAAAGACGAAGACATTAACAAAAATACAAACAAATAGAAAGATAAAAATGATATAGAAAGAGGAAAGATACAATTTTCTTTTCAAAACTACACCCTTTGCGATCTCCTCACAACCTTCTCAATCTTGACCACCCTTTCTTTCCTTTCCTTTTTTACTTCCATATGACCTAATTCTTGGTGTACAAACCACATAGTGTTACCGAAAGCCTTGAATTGTGAATGACATACGATATTCTCCTATTGAAAGAAAGATTCAATACTCTTAGAAGATGTAAAGAGCTATCAAGAGAATTCTACAATATCGAGAAACATCCCTGCTGCAATGGAGAGAAGGGTAAACCAGAGAGAGCATTGGACAAGATAAACAGCTGCTAAACAATACTGAGAATGATTAGGTATTACACATTTGAAGTAGAGCCTACTGTATTAAAACATTAATTTATATTAGTGAAGACTTGAGAAGAAAAGTAGAAAAAGCTATATATTACATCTTTATTATATTTTAAAGGAGTCCTATCCTACCATAAGAAAAATCAAAACATCCCACAATAAAAGCAATTATATATGATTAAGATACAAACTGGAAAGATAAGAGAAGGAAAAAAACTATTCATTTCACAGAGAGTCTAACAAATCCTATTAGAGAACACACATGGGATTTACAGGTGCTGTATTCCTGAAAATAGTGAACACGATGTATTTTTTGTCTGATATAATGCTTAATATGTCCTCTGGTAAATATGAATAATAAACTAAATTTAATTTTGTTTTTTACCCCAGCCACATAAAGGTGATTTATTTCTTCATATGTGATTTTGTGTTTCTTCTTCGAATTGGTAACATGTCAGGAAAATGCACCCCTTTAAAAGATAGGATTGAGAATAATCCACTACAAATAGAGAAACAGAAGGGGATTTGCTTTACCGGTATATGAGTAGAACCTACATATGCATAACATGTATATAATGTATAAGAAAATAGGATTAAATAAAAGTAATTGCAAATGGGAGAAGATGAGATTTCAGTTGTTTCTTTTAAGGGACTGGAAAACTTTACCAAGAATTTTATGATCACTAATGCTAAAGGATTATAGTGGTTTTAGTGTTTTCCGGTGTAACTCGTCTCGACTTTGAAGGGAACACACATCCTTTTTAAACTTAATTTTAAACCTTTTTTTTATAAAAAAGAATGTGTTCTATTCAATTTAATTATTTTGTCCATCAAATTTTGTTTTTCATCCTACACATCCTATAATAGGCCAGTTTGTAATTGCAGTTTGAAAATTTGGTTTTAAAAAATGTGCAAATTGAGAAAAATATTGGATACATGTTCAAACATTCATTTCATTTTATGCACCAGTATGGTATTTCATGATACACAGGTAAAGTTTTGCATCTCTAACTGGAGATAAATGGCATTCATGTGACTCCTCAAGTTCTACAATCCCTATTAGGCCTCTCCATGTTCAGATATATATTTAGTGGTTATTTGGTGCTAATTACAAACTGGGTAATTGGACAGCTCCTGCCAAGTCTAGCTCTTACAACAAGATACATTGATTTGATCTGTTGATTTGTTTTATTGTCCACATTACGTGGAATTTTTTACTTCACATGGCTAACAACTATATACAGTACATAAAGCATAGGTCAATTGAACACATTTTAAATTACACATTGCTCATTAATCACCGAGTAGGTCATATTAATAATTTAAGCTTAACCTTTTAAACTCAACACTAAATCTTATAACAATAAATAATACACATTGAAATATCAGTACAACTACTTTTATGAGATGGATGATTGCAAAACCAATAACTAAACTTACAAAAAAAGACAACTTCTGAACCCTTATAACAATATAACGTATATTAAAAAAGATTTTCAGCCAAATATTCAAATTCTCAATGTAATAACCTACATGTCAAACCTCAGAAGTATACATGACTTCTATTAGGAGGTATTGGGTAAACTGATCTGGTGAGTAGGAATAAATTATCACAAGGTAGACATTGAAATACCTGCATACTTACGACGTGTGTGCGCGTCCCACGGTGAGGCCTGATCTGTGGAATAAAGAGGTTAAAGAAATGTTGTATTAGGCATCTCAAAGGAAATATGATGGGCAGGTAATATCGTAAAAATAAACACAAATTAAACAATTTTGTTAGGTAAAGATTATACCAAGTTTATACATTAATTTCAAAATAGATTTATTTCTGAGTATGTAGACAAAATATAAAGACGTTTTTCACCTTTTGGCCCTACATTTTACTTTATATAAACATTTTCCACATAGAGGATACATATAAATGGTATACACTCCAAAATGATGAGGACATGTGCAAACAAAAGCAAAGATGAAGACTCCCCATGTTTTGCCAGGTAATGCTATAATGCTATAAAGAATTAATACTATTTTAAACATATGAAGCCAAAATAATGAACAGTAGACATACCTTCTTGGAATAATTTACAGGCGGTCAAAGAAAGGGAATGGCCTCCGGCGTCTACCTCGACTGACCACACCCAGTCTTTCTTGACTACGATAGTACAGCGGGTCTGGTTTTGAGTGACCATGCACTACCCGTCTCGGCTTCCTCCCTACTACTCCTATAGCAAGGCGTTTACGTCCCGAGAACCTCAGCAGTGTTCGACCCAGTATCCCCCCTCGGTCTCCCCCCTGCTGCTTCTGCGAATCAGTCTGTAGGAAAGGAGAATGAAGTGAGTTTAAAAATCATTTATACTAAAGGGGAAGTCCACCCTTAAATTAAGTTGACTGTAATAAAAGCATAACAATAAGAATATGAAAGTTATGAATTTTAAAACTGTCATCAGTGAAAAAAATGTGACATGCAAGCTCATCTCCAATTTGCTCTGTAGGCTACAGACAATTTCATGAATTTTCATTTTCTTAGATATTGATGACGGAATAGATACATTTCATACAGGGGTTGCTTAACACTATACTTGAAATGATAATACTTAGGGTAAATATTTGATTGAAACATTAATTGATTGCACCTTTAAAAATTCATAACTTTCTTATTTTTAATCGGTTTATGCCCAAACTTTCACTGAACTGTTTCTCTCATGTTCTGATTCTAAAAAAATACACTTAATATCATGGTGGGCTTCCCCTTTAATTTCATTATGAGCAAGATGTTTCAGTTTCAAACTTTTTTTAAAAATAAATAAAACAGATTATGTTTTCAGATAAATGAATTTTGAAAAACCCCTATATCATTGTGACAAATAACAATCATACTATTTAGAAACCTTGGATGCATCTCAGTTCATTTTGATCCAACTGATCATTAAAAGTTGCTGCTATGTTGTAAAGTTTTGGCTCATTGTCAAGTCTTCAATTAAAAAATTGTGTTTGGTACATTGAATACATTGCATGCTCATCTGTTTAGTTATATTTTGTTGTGGGGGTAGGAATTGTTAGAATACTTAAAATTAGGAAAGCATATAAAAAATTTACTTACCCAGGCTATAATCACACATTGCCTCGCCTCGCGGCAATCCGGGCCGACCTCCGCAGGTTCTGGTTTGCCCGATTGGCGGCACGACGTTGCTCTCTCTCCGCGGCGAGTTGAACAGCGGCGGCAGCTGCGATCTCTCGCTCTACCAGACGCGGTGACCTTCGTCTCGGGTGGAGTTGCTCACGCTCCTCCGCCCTCCTACGCTGTTCATCCTGCTGTTGGCGATGAGCAGGAACGACCTCCGCACGACCGTTCTCGCGATGCAACTTGTTGACTGTATAAACCAAACGAAAACATAAATGAGGACATGCTACTAGTACATGCATGGCATTTCACAGATCACATTCAAATACACGATTCTCCATTTATTCTTGAATATACCCCCTGTCAATGCACCAACGTACACATTCAATGATCCCATATTACAGGGTAAAGGGGTAGGCTACTTTTCACGCAACAAAGTAAGGCCCGTACATACACAAAAATCTGGCCAGTATTGACTTTACACACCGGAGATAGGGGGTGCTTTCAAAGGGAGGGAACATGCATATATGCTGCCTACCCTAAATAACACTGAGTGGAGGGGGAGGGGGAGGGGGAGGGGGAGGGGGAGGGGGAGGGGGGCAGTGTAATTAGTTTCAAAATATTTTGAATCAATATACATATGTACATGAATCAATATTTACTCTTCCATTTTTAATATTTTTACCAATGGCAATATGCGGCCCTCGATTCCTGAAAAATTCTGGATCCGCTAATAGTCTGGGCAAATACATGTAGATCTATAGTCTATGGTCCACAAGACGCCTTTTTAAAATGTAGATCTAAGTTACATGTGAGAGATTTACTTTGAATAAATGCATACCGTGTTGCGTGCAGTAGAGTTCAACAGCGTTTTCGTCTAGCGAGTGACGTCCACGCCGGCTGCAACGTCTGCCATTCCCATGAAGCCCAATATGTGCAGAGCACTGGACCTCGGCTGGCTGTCTGTAATAAAGGAAACATAAAACAGGACATATAGTCTATTACTACTAGATTGCAAATAATAGAATGCGAATATATAAGACAAAAGTGCAGATGTTGCAATTTTGGTAAGAGATTCGATAGGGTAATTACAATGAATGACCCAAAACAAATAACTTTCAACTCACTGAAGGGTCAATATCCTGCGTGTATTAAAGGGACTGTATCAGCAGTTTCCATGCGCAGAAGGCCATAATTCGCTGACACCAGACTTGGTGGAAATACCATTAATGGGGGTACAAATCTGCACACAGCAAACCCGTTGGCCAGTCAAGAATCCCCCCCCCCCCCCTTCTGATTTCTTGGATAATACTCGAGAGTTTTCGGGTAACGGGGAAACCAAAGCATTACATAAGGTCTAATGGTCATAAAACTCAAGGCTAACCCGGGTGATTGACAACACCTGTTGTTGGGTAAACACCCGAACGGTGTCGAATTCTCCATGAGAGCTGACTACTGAGTTGGTAAATTCATTTTTAATTTAGAAAATAACTATATACATACTGTCGGTGTTGCCAGCACTCATCCGGTTCATCAACAGGCAGGGGTGCCTTCCTCCTACAACGAGTACCCTCCAGGGTATTCATCACACAGTTCCCGGTGAACTTGTTGCCGTAAAAGACCATTATTACACAAGTGAAATAACAGTGGTTCAAAGCAAGCTAGGCGAACGAAGCAAAAGCTAAGTAAATATCTCAAAACGACTTGTCTAGGACAGAATCTAGCAGAGAATGGTAAATTTCTTGCTTCCCATCTTACTCGAAACCTAAAACCGATTCGCGCGAGCGGTCTCTATTTGCATGTTCAATTGAAATACATCACGTGATTTTTATTAGTGGTGAACACTAATTGTTCTCTGGCATGCGTGACGGAATTATTCAATTCCGTTGCGTTGAAGGTGTTTCATTTGAATATGAAAAGAGAGGATGCGAGATAAGGGTGTGGCCGGTGTAGAGGGAAGTCATTCTAGCTTCAGAGTGTCATCTGTATGTGATGGTTGCTATGGGTGATATTATGTGATAAACGATGTTAGGATGAACTATTATTTGTCTGCGGTACGATTGTATAGCAGACAAATGTTGTTTGTATCGTTAATGAATGCATACTGTAACAAATCAGGGTTTTAGTATTGGACGAAGGTTAAGCATTTTCTGTTGTACGAGCATGCGCTATAGCAATATGGCGCATCGTTGATTTAGCAATTACCAAACTGAAGGAAAATGAGCATAAATTACATATAACAAAAAACAAGAAAAAAAGTGTCCGCTTACCCCCCCCCCCCCCCCCCCCCCCCCCTCACTGAGCGACTTTTCGGCCGGCGCGATTTTCAAATTTTTGGGAGCAAAATATTTTGGGCCAGATTTTAAACCCCCCCCCCCCCCCCCTTGAAAAAATCCTGCGTACGCCCCTGTGTGAGATTATAGGACAGACTCACATTTGAGACTTTCAGTGCATTCACTCGAAGCAAGAGGGACTTTTAGATTGAGTAGACGAGAACACGACGAACGCCGATTGATCATGCGTGTCAACGTACTCAACTGCCCATGTTGACTACAATTAGAAATCTTTTAGATTACACTCGGCGATACACACCACAGCAATATAGGCCATTTTCGTAATGTAACCAAATTTAATGCATAAGTCTTTGTGAAGTGCCTCAATACAGATCATTTTCTTCACCTGATAAGAATAATAGTATTTCAATAGACAGAATCTGAACTGCATTCATTACTTGTTGCCAGGTTGGACAACATGATGGCTTGACCTACCTAGCAACACTTAATATATGCAGTTGCATTCTGACTATTGAAATACCATTATTCCTATCAGGTGAATGAAATAATTTGTATTGAGCCACTTCACAAAGACTTATGCATTAATTTGGTTACATTACGAAAATGGCCTATTGCTGTGGTAGAACATCCCTTCACTGCTATTATGTAAAAATGTGTAGAACAGGTGAATATGCATGTGTCACCTGTTCTACACATTTTTACATAATAGCAGCCTTAGCAGGGAAGGGATGTTCCTTTGTCTACCTGTAGAACTGTATATTTTATGCGCACGCGGCATATACTAGTACCGTACTAGATTTAGGAAAATCAAGGTTGACGCATTCTCGATCGCCGACTGAGACGACGTGACGCATGCGCAGTGCCTTAAAATGACGTCACACGTTGCAGTCAAAGCTGTCGACGTGCAAATCTAAAAGTTTTTGACTGCAACGGGCGCCAAAAATATGCTGTCGATAATTGATGTGCTTATTGAGCATACCGTGCTACCAGGCAGGGGCGGATCCAGCCGGCGGCAGGGAAGGGGAGGGGGCCCAATTTGTGAGAAAATATTTAGTGGGGAAAATTTAAAAATCGCACCGGCCGAGAATTCGCTCAGTGGGGTGGGGGGGAGGGGATCATAGGGATATACTATATTTTTTTTTTTGGGGGGGGGGCCCTTGAAAATTTGGAAAATCGCATCCCCCCCCCCCCCTTGAACGCCAGGGAGGGGGCCCATCTCCATAAAAAGGTAAAATTAACGTGTTTTTACACATTTTTTTCCGGGGGGACCACAGGCCCACCGGCACCCCCTCCCCCTGGATCCGGCCGCCACTGCAAGCACATTTTCTTTCCCGGAAATTAAAAAATTTGGCCGACCTATATTTCGATGGCTGGGGGGGGGGGGGTAAGGTCACTTTTTGGGGTCACCCTTTTGCACACAAAAAAAGGGTTTTTTCTTCTTTTTTTTAAATTAAAAATCACACACATCAAAAATGTTAGTGGGGGTTCGACCCCCAATCCCCCACCCCCTGCGTACACGCCTGTACCTATCTATAGTACTCAAGTTATTTTGACCCCCTTAAAAAAAAATTAGGAGTCCAAAGACAGAGAGAGAAAAAAAAACTCCCTCTTTTAGAGTTTAGAGTTTAAAAAATTAAAAAAAATGATAATTCCAAGAGTTAACTATACTACTATAGTATACCCTTTGACTGAATTAATATGACTTTATGCTGGTGCAACATTGAGATATGATTAAGAATAGGCCTACAATAAACATGACACATTTAAATAATATCCAACTAAATGTTCTGTGATTTTTACAACGTAAAAGTTTTAACTTGTGTCAGTGGCGGATCTAGGGGGCACAGGGGGCACGTGCCCCCCACCCCCCCCCCAAAAAAAATAGTGCTCATTACCACCCCCCCCCCCACCCCACCCCCACCCCCACCTCAGAAATCCTGAATCAGCGACTGTGTGTATTCAGTTCTGATGCTGCAGTTTGAAAGCACCCCTTTATCTTCGTTGTGTAAAGTCAGTGCGGGCCGGATTTGTATGTATTACGGGCCGGACTTTGTTGCGTGAAAAGTAACCCTTTATCGTAAATTTTGGGAACACAAAATCGGTCCCTCCGACCCCGGAGTGGGAGTGAGGTAGGGGGGGGGGGTATCTTCTTTCTTTCTTTTTTCTCTCTCTCTCTCTCTTCTTTCTTTTCTCTTCTCTTTTCTTTTCTCTTCTCCTTTCTTTTCTCTTCTCCTTTTTTTCTTCTCTTCTCTTTTCTTTTTTTTCCTCTTTTTTTTTTTGCGCCACCAATAGAGGGGGGCCGCGGCCGTTTCGGCCCCCCTGGATCCGCCACTGTGTTGTGTGTTATTTTTCTTGGCTTGCACCCAGCAGATAAAACATGCGCAAGCTCGATCTTGTTACTGAACAAAATATACCCCCCAAAATCGGAGAAAATCTGAACACCAGCTGGGTTTTTTTTTACTGTCCGAATGAAAACTATTCTTTCCCAAAATACTGTCATTTTCATCGGCCTGAAATTTGGAATACCTGCTTAATGATAAAATTATAAATGCACCAAACCTCCTTCCTTTAAATCAAAACTCAAACGGTTCCTAACTTCCTACTATATAGGCATAATTTAGATCTTTATACTCATGAAATATACCACAGCTGAAATTAATTCTTATACTTACATCAACAAGTAATCATATGAACCATACCAGTGGACCATGGGACTATCAGGCTATAGCGGAAATAAAAGATGGGTAATACATCCCTACTCACCACTGGACACCCCCCCCCCCCCCCGCCGAAAGAATATCCTTAATATCCTAGAATATTTTATTTTTTATTTTAATTTTTAATTTTACAAACCCCATTTCATGTATTGAATTGATTATCAAATGTTGATATTGATACATGTATTATTTTCTCTGTCTCTAAAGAACGGATATCACAAAAAAAGTTCTCCTAACTGAGCCTGTCGGGTGTGAGGGTGACCCCCCCCCCCCGGCCCTCCCATCAGGATTAAAGGTATGAGAGAGTGACTCGGCACAACAACGGGGTCGTGTAGAAGAAGGAGTAGCCTACACTGCGGATGTATATGAGAATTTACATTCTACATTTTTGAATTAACAGGGATCTGTAAAATGTTACAGGTCCCTATATACAAAATATCAAACTAAATGCAAATTAAATTTGCAATTATCAGAACTATCATTGAAGGGCAATTCAGCTCCTGTAATAATTAAGCTCATTTGTATAAAAATATGATAAACATAATAATAGCGTTGTTTGAAATAAATCGGACTAATATCATAAGACAGTTATGAATGTGTGAAATACTTATGAGATCACTAAGTCTATGCGAATATCAAAATGGCAGTTTGGTCAGTGGATTGTGACGTAGACGTGGATACCCCTACATTATAATTACATTATCAGGCCATATTTCAATTCATGTTTCTCTTCATATATGAGACAGTGCTTAGGCATCATACTTTGCAGTTGGGGTTTGAATTTATTTGAATATTCATTTGCGAGCGAGCGAGGAAATTTTTAAGATTTGTGAGGTCGCAGTGCGAAAAATTACATCTTATTGAAGAGGGGAAGAAAAAAAACTTGATGGGGTTATAAGCACATTCTCATAACGAAAGACTGAAAAGACTATTGATGAGTAACATAATTATGTTATCTATGAAATAAAATGCGATTAAGTGCAGCGAGTAAGCTTTGAAATATCTCTAATTCGCTTTAAATTAGGGGCACATTTAATGATGTGAGGAAAAGGGGACACCTATCGAAATGGATAGGACACCGCACGTGTCTTGCCCCTCCCCCTCCCCGCTGGATCTGCCACTGGGTTATGTCGTTGCTTTCAATTATAAATGGGGGGGGGGGGGGACCTCGGGTTTCAGTTTTTATGGTTTCGGACTATAGAGGCTCAAAACGCCCCATTGGTCAAAAGTTTTGTTTTGTATACATCTCTTTCTATCTCAGAAGGAAGAAAAATCAATGCTTTAACATTAGGCCCAAACTATCTCACCAGTTTCGGACTAGGTTGTCCTTTCTCGGTATTAACAAGTCGCACTACTTTGTCATCGTTAATCCCCAGGAATAGTATACCGACATGTCAAAGAAAGAGTCAGTTGGAAGTTTATACCACAATATTAGGTAACAAAGGGTGCGAAGTAGGCTTCCGATAATTGGCGGACAAGTCAAACAAGATTGAGTGAATATTTAGCTTCCAACAGGCCAACAGCGCACACCGCTGTTCCGAACGGCTTGTCATCAAAATCACTGTGTCCGATCCGGGCACTGGATGCCCATCAAAACTCAAAGGACCTTTGACAACGCACTTTTGAAGGATTTTTACTTCTTTACTGGATTTTATAAACATGTCTTCGTCGTCTAGCCCGCCACCAGCTCGTGTGGAAGGATGGCTAGAAGTATTTGGTGAGTTTTAACGACTTTTCTTCACTTCCAAAGTTTTGTTTTTGAACTCGTTATTTATTATGACTTGGCGGACAGGTGGTAGCGGGCTAGTGATACCTTGTTTCGCCTGAACTCTGGGGACTCGCTACTGCGTGCGCGCTCTGACTGTGAACAGAGACAGGGTGCATTCATTATTTCATCTCTTTCTACATCGAGCTATTCTAATTTCTAGCTCACTGAGCTTTGCGATCGAGAACTTTTACTTCATTAAAAAAAAATAGAAGACAGTATTTTTTTTATAGTTCATAGATTTTGCAAGAAGAAGATGATCAAATGTTACCTCATCTCAGGCCTTGAAGATGTATGTTTTGAAAAGGAATTTAATATAATGCACGCCTGCATACATTTTTTGATAGGTTATTTTCCATCGTCTGCTTTTCCTAGTTTACTTTGAATTGTATTTGTAGCTTTCTTCTTAGATTTTTTCTTTCCTTACCAACTCTAGGCATTGTTAGCATTACTTCTACATGTGATAGTGCTTTATTTTCTGGAAGAGGGCTCCACCCCCCCCCCCCCCCATCGTAATTTGTATGAGTACAGTACCTAGGACTTCAGGGGTTCTCTTTTTAAAACCCTCTATGACTGAAAAGTGAAAAAGAACCATAGGCCCACATGAAAAGAATGTTTAACAAAATACTTGAGAGTTTGTTTGTATTGAGTAGGAGGCCTATTGTATACATTGTCAACAGTGTTTGCAAAAGGAAAATAAGGGCCTTTTTAGAACATTTTAAAACTTTATTTTGTCAGCCTAAACTGAATTCTCAGACTCTCAATTCAATTAGAGAATGACTTTACTCATTGCCTTCAAGTTTTTCATTTGATGGTGTTAAAGCAAAGCAAAGCAAAGCATGTACCGTAAAGCATGTTGCTCTGACGTCTATCATGAGCTCTCTTTAGAGCACTTCTATGAATGAAAAAGACCCAAACAGTAATTGTCTGCCTTCAAATAGATTGACCTTCTTTCATTTTCTACAAGTCTTGTATAATGTGGATGGCTGTTTACAAAGGCCATTGTTTGGCAAACTGTTATGATGAGGAGGAGAGCTATTCTAACTTCTCTTTCCACCTTTCCTTTTCTTTGTCATTTTGCCATTGTGCAATTGCTTGTCTGACCCTGAAGGTATAGCCTACAGTAAGAGGGTTAATGACTTTATTCATTCTGTGATTTTGGCAGAGTTGTCCTTTTACTTTAATAAATTAAGGAACCTTAGTTATGACAGATTTAACAAAAGCATGGCAGAATCTCTCATACTCTTGATAGTCTTATTCATGTATCTTGTGCACCACTAGTGCTACTACTAAACGAGCAAACAAACTTATATTTCATTGGGCTTTTATAGTTGAAGTAGTCTAGGCCCTAATGGATTAACTTTTATCATCAAATAATGGATCAACTCCTACATGTCATTCGTCTTCACGTACTGCTCTGGATACAAAAACATTCTACTTGTACTTTTTACATAGAGAGACTCTTGTAGTAGTTTATCTTTGTAAAGTGGATCAGCTTTCAAAATATACTAAGAAAAGTTCAAGGGGAACACTATACTATTCATATGGTATGATGAAAAAAGAGAGATAAGGCCCAATTACACAACCCCCAAAACCATTTGAAAAAATTGGTTTCTTTTACTGCCATAAAAAATTTACATAGCTGGAAAAACCCATAAGAAGCTGGAAAAACCCATAAGAAACTGTTGGTGTTTGATAATTCTTTCATTTTGATGAGTTATGAGCATGCCCCACTTGTTGCTGCCCTGCACAGAAGCAAGGAGATAGTCACATGACCAAAAACCATAATGATTCATCTTTGTTTTGAGAGCAAGCATTTACGGTGCAAAAACCGGTGAAGTTTCTGCAGGTGTTTCAAAAAACCAAATACCAGACTTAACTCTGCAGAGATTGGTTTTTTATTTGGATTTTTGTCTTTTTTTTTTTATGGGTATTTGCTTTGCAACTTCTGACAAAACACTGGAATGTGAGAAAAACCAATGATTTTTGCTTGCGGCAATTTTGACAGATATACTGAGGGGGATCTTTGGAATTTCTTCTGATAATTGGATAAATCATAAACTCTCAGTAATATACATGTACTAAGGATTGACAACAACAGCGATGCCTCGGTCGCACCAGCAAACTGACTCCAAATGGACCACTTTTGGCCCGTGGGGGTAATGCAATTCGTCGCTGTTTTCATGAAGTGACGGTAGTGAAAAAAATTGCATTCACTTTGCGTTACGATTTTCCTCACTACCGTCACTTCGTGAAAACAAGGACGAATTGTTTGTTAGGTCTGTTGTTAGTCTGGTGTAGGTCTCATCAATGTGACTGAGGTCTACATGTATAATATGAACCCCCTGTGAGCTACGAAAAAGTGTATTGATAGCAGTGTGTATTAATGCTACGTTTTAAAGCAAAATTTTTTGACAGTTTAAAAATCTGGCCCGGTATCCACGTTTGCCCATTCCGTCCAACCGCGTTGTCTCACTTCCATCCCGTTTTGTCCACGGTGGTCTGAAACGTGATTGCCATGGCTGCCAGGAACATAGTGTAAACGTAGCATAACATGTAGAAAGGATTAAAAGAATTAAAAGGAAGGAATATTTTTTCAACTGAGTGCATGATTGATTCTTTGATTGTATTGCTAAAGACCCTAGTCAAAATAGCTGCTTTCTTTCTGTTTAGAGTGTTTTCCCTATCAATGAATGGAGGTTATTAACTCCCTTTCAGACTGTCTTTGGGGTGGGGGTGTTTCTACAATAATCTTAATCTATTCCTAAGCTTCTTGAGCTAAGTATATTGCATCAGATTGTTAAGGACAGTTATATGGGTGTAGTACAGTATGTGGAGGATACTCTTTGCAAAGGGTCACAGATGTACAGATTTGTCTACATGTGGATTACTTTCAAGGCTTTCATTTTATGCATGTAATGATTGATTTTACTAATGGAATTGAAAGTTGAGTGAATTAAATAAATTGATTTAAATTGATTTCCTTGTAGAATTCATATATCTTTACTTGCTAGGAGCAGAAACTTTTGCATATTATATACAGTATGTTAAATGATGTAAGATATTGGTTAGAGATCTATCCTTTATGCCAAATATCTACCCAATGAATGCTGTAGTTATGGTAGACACTTCTCTGAAGCATACACTATCTTCTGAAAGTTTACTTGAAATATTTCTCCTAATAAACTGATAGTACATCAGTATATACAGTATATACCAAAATACTGAAAAAATGAAATAGTTTTGTTTTCCTGCATGCACTCAAGTAGCAGTTGCTTTTTTCTCAGCTATTTTTGTATTCTCTACTTTCACACCTCTTCATTTGTATTGTGCCAAATCATGGCAATTCTAAGCTGAGAGTCTGTAGATGTGGCTATTTATGTTCATTAAATGTAAAATATATTATATTATGCCACTATCCACCCTGGTGTTAAATGGGTACCCGGTAGGATGCGAAAGTGAATGTGGTTGTATGAGCAAGTGGCGCTTGTAAAATGGCGACTGGCCGGAATGCTCCCCAGGAAATGGAGAATGTAAACATTGTGTGCGGTTAAGCCTGAATCTAATGACCAGGATAATAACATGTACTGGGCCTAGAAACAAAGTATTACAGTAGGTGCATTATAAATGTGAGCTATTACTATTATTATTTAATTTATGTGAATAATATTTAACTCGGGCCACTACTTTTTTGTAAAAATTATGAGTTCCAAAAAAGTGGAACAAAAATTTCATTCACGCTGTCACAAAACTAAATTCAGTAAGTGTTGATATATACAAAAAGATATTTCAAGTTTTCAGCCTTCAAATTCTAGCACTATGTATGAATTTTGGGCTTTTATCCATCTTGTTCGAATGCAGACTACTCAAAAACGCACCGCATTGTCCTTCTAAATTTTAGCCATCACCTTCCAACAAAGAAAAACACAACTTTGTTTGCATCAGGAATTTTGCCTGGATCAATTTCTATAACCAAGTATTTTCAATAACAATTGCATATCACAGGTTGAGGCAGGTCTCGGTTAACAATACAAACTTGGCTATGAACTTGATCTCACACTTGCTGCTTGTATTCTTTGGTAGGAACTGTATTACCCCTTCTACCCCAGCTCCAAGGCAAATAAGTTTGAACACTGTAGCATAAAACTGTCCTTTGTTAAGCAGAAGGGTATTAACTTTGTGTATAATGATATGAGTTAAGGCCTTTCTGGCTCCAGAATTCATGTAATATGATGGACTGTTTCATAAACTAAAATTTTTCTCTTTTCATTGGTTTTGCTTTACCAAAAACTGGTTAATATCAAGATGGATCAGATATTTTGAGGCTAAACCCTCTCCTGGATAATATCCAACTATATGTTCAAGGAGAATCTAGCAATGCAGGATTTAGGGAAGAGCACTTATTTGTTTTACTCAATTTGTATTGTTTGTTTTGTGTGTGTTTTGTTGTTGTTGTTGTTGTTGTTGTTGTTGTTGTTGTTGTTTTTTTTTTGTTTTTTTGGGGGGGGGGTTGTGTTTCCTACTAAAGGTTTTTAAAAAAGTGGGGGGGGGGGGGGGGGACTGCGGTCATGTTGAAGAATTAGATGAATAAAATCAGCTTCTTTTTACTTTTATAAATTTTCATTTTAGTATATTATGTCGATTCTCAGTCTCAATTCTCAGTCTTGCATCAGTTTCATTCTGTATTTGTAACTGATGTGAGTTTATGGATATAGACTGTTACCACCCTCGCCCCTTCATCCTTCAACATTTGTACACTAGCTCATATTTATGCAAGCAGATGCAAGCAAGTTCCATGTTGACATTACATGTGGGATATCTGATTCTATGTTTTTTTAAGCACAAGATCAAACTTCAGTGGGCTAGCCATGAATGATGAATAGCATAACAACATTGGTGAACTGAAAGAAACTTAACATCCTTGACTTTGTTTGCTTTCGAAACAGAGAATG